GGGGCGGGGCCAAGGAAGGGGCGAGCGCTTCCTCTCCCTGCGCCGCTTCCCATTGGAGGAGCGGCGCGGCGCGCGGCGGCGGCCGATTGGCTTCGCCGGAGGGCCCGCCGCGGGCGCGACCGTTGGCGGCGGTTGGGCGCCATTACGCGCCACGCGGTTCGAGTGGTTTGGTCCGTGGGGGTTAGGACTGGGTGTATAGAAGCAGATTAATGAAGTGTTACAGGCAATAAAAAAAAAAAAAAAAAAAAGGGACCTGTGTAGATGTTAGGTGCGAAGGCAGAGATTAGCAGAATGACGGGCTAAAGATAACACGTGAATTTAGTTAAACTGCTGCAAGGAGCTGGCAGATACTTGTGCAAGGGGCTTGAAAGAGGAGGGCGGTGTTGGGACCTGCTGGCTTCCGGTCCTGATTCCCAAACGAAGCCTTTCTGCTTCAATTAGGGCGTGCGGCATCCTGGGGTGTTGCTTTTGAGGGTGCTATGGCGTGCCGGATAGTGTTTAGGCCTGTTAGGCGTGTACGCGTGATTCACCAGAAGAGAAACGTGGGGGCTTTCATACAGGAATCAACAGAGTTCAAATCGTTGAGGTGTTGGGGGCTTTCTCAGTGCTTTGTGACAGGGCAAAAATGATTTGTGACAAAAAAAACCACTCGGGTGAAAGCAGTAGTTTCTGAGGGGCGCCGGAAGGGGCGCCTGACGTCTAGAAAAATTGGGAATCGTGGGTTTAGTTCACTGCTGTGGAAATACCCAGTTGTTGGGGCGTGCAAGGGCAGCAAAAGTGCTCAGAAAGGCTGCCAAATTTCAAGAGCTGTTGGCTCCTGCCAAGCTTGTGGCCTCACCATCTCTCGGGTTTAGGGGGAACGGGCAATGCAGACTGGTGTCCTTGATTAGCGCGAGGGACTGGTATGATGAGAGAACCGAAACGATAAATGCCGTGAAGACGAGGACTGCAAGCTTGTGTCGGGTGTAGCGGGGAGGCTTCTAAGGAAAGAGAATAGTGTGGTCGGGGTTCACTGAGCAGTAGAGATTTGACCTGTCAAGAAGACTAGAGATTAGGCTGCAGTAGGTATTGGGCTGTGAAGACCTAGACAGCAGTTAATAATGTGGGTGTTGAGAAAAAAACAAAAAAAAAAACCTCTTGGTGATAGTTCAGAGGTGGCGGAAGGTTTTGCCACGGTCTGAGAAAAGGGTCTAGAGCTTGATTCTCAATCGGGGGCCACAGCAAACCAGATTCACAAGAAAAAACTAGAGATTTCAAATGGGGATCTAGCATTAAAAACGGCTCCGCCTTGTCCGTGCTGATTGATCTTTCTGAGCTTTTTGCCACAAGAATTACTTTTCATCGTTTTACTTCAGTCAAAAAATGAGTGAAAACAAAGAGCTGGCATCTTCTATGGGGGGCCTTGGGTCTAATGAGGGGGTGCTGTGAGCGAAGATTGAAACCACTGGTTTAGAGAGAGGCACCGTCCTGCCCTCTCTCCTAGGTTATATGTAGCTTTGCATTATCAGATGGCAGTGCCCTGAAACACTGAAAACAGGGTTGGGGTCTAATAAAGAAGCCTAGCCTTTGCTCACTTAGGTTGTGTTTGCAAAGGCATCTGGCAAGGTGTTAAGCTTCTTGCTTTGTCTGTGAGATCTTTTGGTCTTGTGGCAGAGAGATTTCGTAGACGTAGAAGAGCTGCAAGCGATGTTTTTGACTGGAAATATAATGGGCCTTTTCCCAAGTGTTACGGTGGGAATCATCAATGTCACTAGAGCTCAGACTTAAAGCAAATGGTTCGTTCTTCAAAGAAATGCACCGATGCTAATTTAGCGATGCTGTTTCTTTGGGGAAGCTACGGCAAGGAGCAAGGGAGTTTGCTGGAGTCTATCCTTAGATGAAGAAAGGGTTGAAATACCTTTTTCTCATCAAATTTCCCCAGAAAAGCTTGTCAAGCGCAATTAGCATCAAGAAAGGGGAGAACTGCTGTGAGCCCAGAGGAGGAAAAGAACAATTTGGGGATTATTTCAGTAAGCTTAGCATTTTCAAACCAGCAGGACCTGATGAGATTCATCCTAGAGCACTCAAAGTATTAGCTGAATTAATTGCAGGCTCATTGACCTATTATGTTTGAGAGGTGAGGTTAGGTCTCAGAGCTGGAAGAGGACAAATGCAGTAGTTTAGAAAAGGGGAAAAGGAAGATGCAGCAAATTGCAGAGCAGTCTAATTTTAGTGCTGGGGAAGACACTGGAGGGCATGTATATATTAAAAAAAGACTTGTAATCACTTAAAAGAGAATAGCTGATAAGTGACAGCTAGCATGATTTTATTAAGGGTAAGTCAGGTGTAACCAATCTGATTGTCTTCTCTGACAAGGTAAATGAGCCTGGTGTGCGTGGGGTGGGGGAAGGCAGTGGATGCCATGTACCGCTTGTTTTTAGTATGGCTTTTGATACAGGTTCCTGTGCCACTATCTCGAGCAAACTAAGGCAATATCATCTAGGTGCAACTAATACAAGGTTGGCGCATAATTGATTGGATAATTGCATTTAAAGAGTAGAAGGAGGAATTGAGTGGAGCCCTCCAGGATGTGTTCTGGTCCAGTACTGTTCAAATACCAGTTAAATGAATGAAGTGCATGCTTCGTGCATTTGCAGATGACCTCCAACAGGACGGGAGTAAGATTCAAAATGATTTGGATAAAGCTGAGAAATGGTCTTAAAGAATTAGGATGCAATTCAGTGAGGGCAAGTGAGGAAAGAATAATCAGATACACAAATACAGACTAATGACTGTCTAGGCTAAAGCCACGTGGAGAAGGAGCTACGGTTCAAGTGAATTGCAAGCTGATGTGGGTAAACTGCATGATTTTGTATAAAAGCGATGCCATCCTAGGTTACGTTCATAGACGTGCGGCATGAAGTGAGTTCTTGTTCCGGGTGGTCCTCACCTACCACAGTTTAGAGCCCAGCACCTGCAGAAAGATGTGGGCAAACTGGGCAGAACCCAGAAGAAACCAAACCAAAATGGTTAAAAGTCTGGAAAGCACTAATGTAAGAGGAAAGGCTGGAAGAACGGGGATTATTTAGTCTAGAAAAGAGAAGAAAGTTTTTTTTTCTTTCTATGGGAAGGTGACTAAAACATCTTAAAAAAACCAAGGATGTGCTATTAGACAGCTTTTACAGATAGGCAAACAAAGGCACAAATATATCGGGTGCCCACCCCGTGTCCATGCGAGTCAGCGGTAGGCCTGGGAACAGAAGCCTTGATAGTTCCCCTGCTGGCTTTCCCCACTCAGCCTGCCTTAGGCTTGGGGCTTGGGGCAAATTAGTGTAAAAACAGACCTTCAATTTTTTTCAGTTTGGCTGTTGCATTAGTGTTAACCCCAAACACACGAATTTGGTGATTAATTAGCTCAACAGTAAATGAAAAGGGGTGGGGGCGAACCCACACTGAGCATAGGCCTGCAGTTTGGTCCCACTCACCACTAAAATAATTAGTAATAAACATTGACACAAAATAGAGGGGAATCAACCATAGGCAATGTGTAGTTGGGGGCACATGCCCCCCCTGAGATTTGGCCCTCGCTGACTGGGGAGTGGGGGGTGCTAGCTGGTGCCCCCCTGAGATTGTGGGGGTGCCGAGAGAAGTGTTGGTGGCACTTCTGGGTTTGCTGCTGGCACTGCTGCTGGAAGTGGTGATTGGCCGCTGGGAACTCCCCCCCCCCGGTTCCAGTCGGCAATTAGCTGCTGGTGCCCCCCTGGTATCAGGAGCCAGCAGTCGCCCATGGAATCAACAATATACTGAACAACAGGAACAATAAAAAAAAAAAAAAATCAATGTACACCAACCGTACTAACAGCGATAGGACACAGAGAAGAATTCCCACAGCGGGTGCTAGGGAGCAGCTTGGCTTTCCCTCCTGCCACCCCCATGCCTTTGCTGCCTGGCGA